CTTTTTTATTTCCTTATTACTTTTTTTTTTTTTTTCTCTCGAAATTAGGGTGCCGAAAATAAAAAGGAACAAAAAAAAAAAAAAAAAAAAAAATTGGCAGAGAATTTAATCGGTCGTTTTTATTTTGATGATTGTTGTGACCTCAATTTTCATGGTTTTCTTTTTTTTTTTTTTTTCACTTGCATAATATTCTTTTTTAAACGTTTGTTTGTTTGTTTGTTTGTTTGTTTTTGTTAAATCCTTGTAAAAAAAAAAAATTGAATACAAAGATGATGCGCCTTGCATTTGGGATTTTTAGCTCGATTCGTATTCGAAGAAAAAAATCGAAATCTCCTGTAATTGAAAGGGGGTGTGAGATTTTAATTATTATTATTATTATTATAAGCTCTTTTCGAAAATTCTCTCTCTCTCTCTCTCTCTCTCTCTCTCTCTCTCTCTCTACGAAAATGCATTAAAACACTTGATATAATCCGAATTTGATAATTAATTTCGTTCAAAATCAACAAGTTTATTTAAAAAAAAAAAAAAAAAAATGTCTGACCCTGTTGTTTTCAAACGATATCGATATCGAGATTTTGGAGTCGAGAGAATTTTTGTCAAATAAAATTTTCTCTCTTTGTTTAAAAGAAAGAAAAGAGAAGGAAAATGGCGATGATAATCAAATTGTAAAAATTCATCATAAGTAGTAGTTCATTATCGGTAGTGTGGGAGTGTGAGAAATAGTCAATACTTAGAAAAAAAAAAAGTTGGAAATTTTGACGAGATAAATGGTGTTGATACGTTAGGGGATGGGGGTGGGTTGTGGGAGGTTAAAATGCGACGGAATCAAATGACACAAATAATCGATAATTGGTTGGCGGCATGGTCGTTTCGACCGTGAACGATGGCGCTGATATGTCCTCTTGTTGTCGGAATCAACTTGGTTTTTTTTCCAGAATGAATCGAAGGGTGAAAAAATTTTTAACGGTTGATGGGTTGTTAAAAGCAAAAGAAAGATGTTCATTTTATTATTATTATTATTATTAATTTTTTTCTTATTTTGTAAATAGAAAACAGATGCAAAAAAAAAAATAAAACTTTCCTTCTTTTTAACTATTTCGATTTCAATATTAAAACGTCTGTGAATTCTAAAAATAATAATAATAATAATAAAGTATTCAAAAATTTTTTTTTTTTTTCTCTCTCCAGAGGGTCAACAGGGATCTTGGGAGACTGGACTCAATTACGAATGCCGCTCTTTACTCTTCAAAGCTCTTCATAATCTAATTGAACGATGTCTTCTGTCGAGGGATTGCGTTAGACTTGGAAAATTTTTCGTTCAACCCCACGAAGGCCATGAAAAAATTCTTGGAAAAAAGTAAGGAGGGGGTTAAACAGATTTGGATTATGACGATTGTAAAGAAAATAATAATAATAATTTTTTTTTGTTGTCGTCCACAGCACATATCTCTCTTTTTCGTTTGCATTTTTCGTTCACGGAGAATCAACGGTTTGTGCGAGCGTCGATGTGAGAGAGCATCCGCCCGTATACAGCCTTACCCGGCAGCATTTAGCAGCGGCTCAGGCATCGACGACAGGAACTCCCGTCATATTGGCGCCCAACGGTTTGGCGGGAAATTTAACTGGAGTCGCGTATAAGAATTCAGATTCGACCGCGTCACGATTTTTAGAAGAATGGAGGAAATTTTACCCGATTCACAGCAAGTATCTGGGTAGGGATCCGGATCCCGGTCTTCCGCCTCCAGTCGTCGAAATCCTCGTCGGAGGTGTCAAAATGAAATATCCCTCTTGTTACGTTTTGGTAACGGATATGGACGATCAGGGAACTCCGGTGGCTCCGACATCATGTCTGTTAGGAAAAGCTTCTCCAGGGGCTAACAACAACAACAACAATAATAATAATAATAAAAAAATGAGTTCTGGTAAGTTGATCGTGAATTTATTTATTTATTTATTTTTTTTAAATCTTTCCGTTTTATAAATTAAATTTTCTAGAGAGTTCTCGATTATTAATCGTTTAAAAATTTACACTTGTTAATTATTTGTTTATTTGTTTTCGTTTGCAATTTTTTATTTATTTATTTATTTATTCCTGTAATTGATTAGGTAATATTCGGTTTCAATGAGTTCATTCGTTGTTGTTGTTGTTGTTGTTAACAATTTTTAAACAATGTGTCAACGAGGATCTTTTTCCATTTTTTTTGTTAAATTTAGGTCCGGCATCGCCACCGTGTTCCCCATGTCCCAATAAGAAGAAACCCACTCTGGTAACTCCATCGATCATGGCATCCGAATACCACGCCATAAGCAGTGGGTATCATTTGAAATCGATGCATAACACACAACCGGCAGCAGTCAGAATGCCCGAATGGGTTTGGCAAGATAGTATTCTTAACGCTTTGGATCCGGATAGCGAAGAAAAAGCTTCAACTCAATTGGGTCAATGGGATTTTACGGATCCCACAAGGAAAGCAACTTGCAACTGCTCAAAGTAAGTTTTAAAAAATTTTCACACCGAATGACACAAAATTGTTTTGTTTAATTGTCTGCAGAAATTTATTTATTTTTATTTTTTTCTAAAAAAAAAAAAAAAAACTTAAACTATGCCGTCCACGATGGTTCATTTCTTTTGAATGAATACTTTAAAAAAATGAAAAGTAAATGGGGGGAGGGGAGGAGGGAGGGAAAATTCACTCGTGGATTTAAAAATTGAGGATTTTCCCTAAGGATCGTGACTCGATTGACCATTGAAATGCAAAAAAGAAGCTATACACACTCTTTTCTTTTTTAAATCTTTGGCTGGTTTTTCTCATGTTTTAACCTTGACAAGTTTGATTCTTTTTAGATTGGATAAGCATGATTAATTGCAGGCTAGTTAGCTAGCTACGCGTTAGCACAAATCACCTACCTATTCAAAATATAAAATTATAATAAAAAATTTTTATAAATAATCCACATTTTTTCCGTTTTTGTTGTATAGTAAATTTATTCGAGGAAACTGAAGGGAGAGAAAGAGAGAGAGAGAGAGAAAAAAAAAAGAGGATTTTAATGCCTAAAAATAGGTTTTCTTTCTCTTTTTTTCTCTCGTGGATTTGCATATAAATATGTATGAGTTTGAATCGGCATAGTTTAAGTTTAGTTCTCTTTTTCTTAACTTAGTAGATCAATTCTTAAATTTATATATATAAAAAATTAATTTGTCTTGTTTTATGTCGATTTTTGTAATTTATTTATTTGCATTGATCGGGTTATCGTTTATATATATATGTAAAGAGTATCATTATGTTTACGCGCATATATATATACACGATAATTCTTTTTATTACTTATTTTTCTATTTGTTTATTATTTTTCTGTATGTTGTTTATTTTTAAATGAAAAATAGATAGAAAAAGTAAATCTCTTACGGTAATAATTTGTTTATTGAAACGTCGTTGGGGTTTAAATTTTAATATATATATATATATATTAACGTGCACTTTTGTATAAAAACGATTTAGCATATCGAAATGTAGAGAAATGAAAAAATTCTTCATATTCTTTTTTATAGAGAGAGAGAGAGAGAGAGAGGGACTTTTAAATTTTTTTTTTTTTTTTTTATCGAGGGGGCTTTTGTGCTATTATGATAATAGAATAGAAAGAGACTAACAGAATTTACTTATGTAATTTTGTAAGGGATTTTCTTGAATATTTACTTACTATTTTGTTCCCCGTAGTTTTTGTATAATTACGTGTGATTAATTATTATTATTATCTCATTTTTATTTAATGTTTTTTTTTTTTTTTTTTTGGTAGTTATCGTAGTTTTTTTTTTTTTTTTTAACTTTTTCGAATACAATTTATAGCGTTTCGAAATTCTTAAAATAATAATAATAATAATAATAATAATAATAATAATAATAATAATAATAATAATAATAATAATTTCTATGATTGATAAGAGAGAGAAAAAAAAAAATTTTAAATTAATGTCGGGTGGGTTAAGTTGTATAAAAACAATTTAAAGTTCCAGGTGTAAAAAAAATCAAAGTTGGAAAATCGGATGTGGTGGAAGTAGTAGTATGGGAAATGTGAAAACTGAACAAAAAACCCCGAGAAGAATTCCATTTCATCGAAGACCTGATGATGATGGCTTTGAAGGCCCTATAGTGAGGTTTGTAGAAAGATGTCTCTACAATCATCACTCACCATCATTTACCAAAAAAAAAAAAACATTTACCTTCATCATTGTACATTTTTTAACCTAAATGCGTTCCAATTTTTAATTATTCGACCTGGTTGAAAAAAAAAAAGGTAGGATGGTTAAAATACTCTGATGACTCCTTTGCTTGCGCCTTTATAAAAAAATGAATGAATAACAAAAATGGGGGCGACATTGCGAGGAGAAGAATATAAAACCATCCATCGATTTTTTTTTTTTTTTTTTTGTTCGAGTCTTATAAAACTTGTGCTTTTTTTTTTTTTTGGTTGGGCTCAAGCATCATCGCTAATAACTGTAAATAAAAAAAAAAAAAGGGGGAAAAAATTCATTAATAATAATAATAATAATAACATCTGTCGAGCTTTTTTTTTTTCGATGCGAAAAAAAATTGGAAGTGGCACAACTTAAAACCTTGCTAATTTGTAGATTTTTTTCTTTTTTTTTTTTTTTGTTAATAATAAAAAGCTTTAAAAAAAAAACTAAAACCTTTACAACAACAGCGGCTATTGTTGCACCACTTTTGCCATAATTTTAAGGTGTTTGAAGGGTCAAAATCAAATTAATCAGTATATATATGCCTTACGTGTGTTCATTCATTTCTTAATTAATCCGCTCATCCGCAATAAAAAAAAAAATATATGAAGCTTCGAAACCTCGTAAATTTTTTTTTTTTTTTTCAAATTTTTAAACATATCACTTTGATTTTGTCAGAGTTGTATTATTTGGTGGTAGGTAAATGACGTCAATAAGAATAATAATAATTTATGAGTAGTATTAATTTGAGGATGTGTAAGTAGCAATGATATGCATTAACTTTTGCCTTTTTGGTGCATGAAATGATGGCATGTTATTTGTATCAAAATGCTTTTGCCTTTATGCTAACGGTTTAGATAAACATACGAAACCAAAGTGAAAAACTTACGATTGGTGATTATTTTAAAGACACAAAAATTTTTTTTTTTTTTTTTTTTTTTGAAAAACAAATAATTAAATAAAATAATATTTTCGATAACTTGCAGATCGACAGCAGGGTCAGGGACTCCTTGTGGACCACCTTCATATCTTAGGGGACAATCGATGACTCCGAATGCAGTACCATCGATACATAGCACAGGCTTAAACGATTCTCTTCCTGTTCCTTCGGTAGGTTCTCCAGCTTCCGCCGCTCCTTCTCCCCTACCCAATCCTCATTCGCAACCGGCGAGCATACCGCCGGCCGATCCGACTATGCCCACTCTGAGTCCGCATCCTCCCGCGAGCAACAGTCAGCCGAATCAACCTTCGACTCCGATGGAAACTCATGACAAAAGCACGCCGGCTGCCACTCCTGATGTCCCCAATCCTAAGTCGGTTTCATCTGCTAACCAGGCGTTCAGTCCTTACCCAAATTCAAACAGTGGTGATAATAAAATAACTAATACTAATGAAAATATTCCTCTTCAGCCCGTCGTAAATAACGTTCAACCCAGTCCCAGTAATTCCTTTCCCATTCTTAAAAGACCGATCCTCGCGTGGAAGGAATATGAAAATCTCGTCATCGAAGAAGAACATCAACCATCCGAATATTTATACGATTATTCAACTTTGGACGCGTGGTAAGTTAATTTTAAAATAATTTTTTTAATAAAGGCCTTGATTGATTGATTTGTAAGAAGGCATAATAATATTTAAGGTCATCATACACAGCAAGGTGTAATCAGACCTCAAACGAAAAAGTTCATCGATTGAGTTTAAAGCTTTGCTTATAATAAATTTCATAAATCAAAATCTGATCAAAAATAGTCAATAATTGATTTTGAAGATCGCTTATGAAACATTTTCCTTTTTTTTACGTTGAAGCCATTCATTTTTAAATATTGTAATATTTTCCTTTCATTTTAGGTTAAATTACCCTGTTAAAAAATTTAAACCGGATACTAAAGAATCTCGTAAAAGGTCTTACCTGGGAGACTTGTACGCTTCTCATCAACCAAATCGAGCTCCGACTCCTCCACCACAAACGATAAAAATTCAAGTTAAACAGGAACCAAGTTCAGTAGCCTCTGATACCAGCGAACCATGTCAGGTAGGGACTCCTGCTCCGGGCGTAAAAAGGTCTGATCCGTATGAATTCGACGATGACGTTACAGCTGCGAACGTAAGTTTAAAAATTTTTGCAAAATTAAAAGTTGTTGATTAAATATATATACATATAAGTTGTATTATAATTTTCAAGGGAGAGGGGGTGTGTTCCTAAATTTAAATATAAGAAGTAATGTAAATTTTTTTTAGGACGAAGACAGAAAGTTTGATGGATCCAACGGTACATCGAAATGTACCTCTGGTAATTTGTTCACAAGTGAAGGATTGACCGCTTCCTATAGGGATTTAGATCAAATCTTTGACAATTCAGACGATACGTCTAGTGATGAACCCGTTCAAGTTCCAACTCCTCCAAATTCTAATAAACCCGCCGGGTTCATGGAAGAAAATTCTCAAACCTTGCTGGTTAAACCTCCGAGGGGAAGCGGCGGAGCCACTCACGCTGGCATTCTTAGACCTGAAGAACTATGCAAAATGTTCCCGACTCCACCTTCAATGGAGCATAATCCGATAGCGTCTCCATCCGGTCATTTGAGTGACGGTCAAGTCAACGAAATGACTGATGGCCCTATCATTACTCGATTCAAGCAGGAAATATATCCAAATTTGGGAAGTCCCCAAGAGGAGCCTATCGAAGTTGGTCTTTTTTTCCTTAATTGTTTTGTTCGTTAAAAATTTTTGTAATATTAATAATTTTTTATCGTTTAACCTATTTCAGGACTGGTCTTACGTTTTTCGGCCTCCGTTAATGTATAAAATGGTAGGGTCTTCAAAGTATGCACCTTTAACTAATCTCCCAAGCCAAAATCTGCCACCCATTACCCTGCCTTCAAATTGTGTGTACAAGCCTTCGTGGCTCCAGCCTCAGGAGAAACCTACCTCTACATCGAGTCAAGCAACATCATCATCAACCACAACAACAACAACAATGACTACAACAACCACAACAAACAACTCGACAACCAACACTCCAAGCAGGCCAGGATCTGTAGCACATCAGCATGTTCCTCGCACTGGATTGAGTCCAATTAGCCCGGCTGGTCATTTCCCGCCGAGCCCAATGATGACCAACATGTTCAAGGGTCCTGGAAGCGTTGGAGGAGGTGTCCGAACACCTTGCCCGCCTCCGCTTTACGAAATGCCAAGCCCTGCCACTTCTACGGCTAGTTCTTACCTAAACAAGAACATCAATTCGGTGGAACCGGCGCCAACTCCCGTAGTGGCAAGGGCTCCTGAAGCTAACTCCCTCGTGGTCAATATTTTACTTTCTGACACAGGTTTCAATATTTTTAGAGATCATAATTTTGACAGCTGTACACTATGTGTTTGCAATGCCGGACCAAAATGTGTAGGAAATATTCGCGGAGCGGATGCCGCTTTTTACTTGCAAACGCAGCAAAGCCATTCCGCACCTTCGAATTCTCCGTTCCCATCATTAGGCATGAACGGTCCTCCTCCTCCTTACGGAATGATGACTAACCCAGGATCTCCGCCGCATAACTCCCATAGTCATCACGAAGAGGATTCAATTCGTTGTAATTGCGGTTTTAGCGCCGTCGTAAACCGAAGATTATCTCACAAATCGGGTTTATTTTACGAAGACGAACTCGAAATCACGGGACTCGCTGAAGATCCCAATGAAAGACGGAAAAATTCATTATTTTCGTACTTAGCAAGCATGAACAAAGAAAATATTAATATGGACAGTTCCGTCAGTGAATCATTAGATATTATTCCTCAAAACATTTTAGAATTGTTACGGGAACAATTTGTTGTTATACAAAATTCTAGTAATTCATTACATCGTGCTGCTAGGCTTTATAGAAATTATACTAATGTGATTCCATATCCGACAATGGTAAACGTTTTAGAGTTTACCGATTGTAACGACGTAACGGTTTTAGCACTAGAACAGGGAAGATTATCGATGGAAACTTCTTCGGCTATTTGTAAAACCGAAGACTCCCTTATGAGACATTCAAAAGTTCCGTGTTTACCCAGTGTTCATAGGTGGCCATACCTTAGAGCTCGCGGGCCTCAGTGTAATCAAGACATTGTGAGAGTCATGAAAAATTTGCAACCAATCCTTCAAGAAGCCATTCAGAAAAAATGCACGACAAGACTTTGGGAAGCTCCGTACACCGTGTCTGGTCCTCTCACGTGGAGACAATTTCACAGGCTAGCGGGTAGGGGAACCGATGACAGATGCGAACCTCAACCCATTCCTTCCCTTCTTGTCGGTTACGAAAAAGATTGGCTCTCTTTATCTCCCTATGCGTTACACTTTTGGGATAAATTATTGTTGGAACCGTATTCTTATTCAAGAGATGTGGCTTACATCGTTGTCACCCCTGAAAATGACTTTATTCTTCAAAAAGTTCGAACATTTTTCAAAGAGCTTAGTTCAACGTATGAGGTACGTATCCTTCGTTTAAACTTATGCTCTTAATTCCGATGAAATAATAATAATAATAATGACCAAATATTTTATTTATTTCACGCTTAGGTTTGTCGACTTGGACGTCATTCGCCCATAACGAAAGTTTTACGCGACGGAATTCTTAGAGTTGGAAAAGCTGCGGCTACTAAACTTTCGAAGGAGCCGGTAGACGAATGGTTTACTAATTTAGGAGATAACTCAATTTGTAATCTATTAAAACTCTATGCTCAAGCTTGCAAATATCACCTCGCCCCTCATTTATCGCAAGTTACTATGGATAAAACTTTATTGGATCCTCCGGAAGGTATAACAAAAGTGGAAAAACCGACTCCTCCGCCTACTTCGACGGATTCTACTATTAATGTCGTGCCGGAAAGGGCACCATCAACTCCGATCTCAGATATAGGTAAAAAAAAAAAGTTTTTCTAAGTTAATGTAAAATACCAATAATAATAATAATAATAATAATAATAATGATTTGTATTTTCGTTTTTAGAAACAGAAAATCCCACAATTGGAAGTTCTTGTCAAGGACCCATCGACTACGGACACGATGAAGATGATTCAGACCCTCCCACGGTTGTTATTTATCTCGTTGAGCCATTCACACTGGGCTCTGATAATGTTGATCTTCAAAGGCTTTCTCTTTTGGCTTTGTTACGATGCTACTCGGCCGTGCTTTCTTCCGTACCGGAAAGCGTTCGTTCGAACATTAGCGTTCAGATTATATCACTTGAAAGCATATTTGAATTGGGAAAAGCTAGGGAAAGCACGAGGCTCAACGATCATATGAGATCTTTAGCTCTTTCGGTGTTTTCTCAGTGTCGAAGACTTTTGGTTCACACGTCAAATGTTAAATCGTTAACCGGGTTTGGTTCTGCTGCTTTAGCAGATCTTTTCCTGAAGAATAAAGATGTAAGAAAATTAATTTTAATCTTTTGTTTTTTTTTTGCATTGCTTGATTTTATGTAAATTGATAAATTTTTTTTTTTTTTTAAGGAAAAAAATCGAGCACCTTACAGGTTGTACAGTCCCCCGTACATATTGGCTCCGCATAAAGAAAGAGTCGAATCAAACGAATCTTTCGGGAAGTCGAATCCTCAACATTGTTCGGTTCTTTATGTGAGCTATTGTCTTTCGGAAGATCAGAGAATGTTATTGACGGTTGCCACAGACGACACCGGTTCTATATTTGAATCGCAAACCATAAACATTGAAATCCCTAATAGGAGTCGAAGGAAAAAAGCTTCCGCGCGAAGAGTGGGTCTACAAAAACTTATGGATTTTATATTGGGTATAATTTCTCAAAGCGTTCAACCCTGGAGATTGGTTGTCGGACGAATCGGAAGAATAGGTCACGGAGAACTTAAAGGTTACTAACGTTTCTAAATAAAAATACATGTGTGAATGTTTTGAAACTTTTACAATAACGTTTGTTTGTTTGTTTGTTTGTTTGTTTTTGTAGGATGGAGTTGGTTGCTGAGTCGCAAAGCTCTCTTAAAAGCTTCAAAGCACTTAAGAGAAATATGCAATCAGTGCAGTTTACTTTCACCGACGGATGTTCCTTGCATATTGAGCGCATGTTTGGTGTCTTTAGAACCGGATTCGGCACTGAGGCTCATGCCCGATCAATTCACTCCGGATGAAAGATTCAGTCAAACATCCGTCAATTGTCAATTGTCGACTCCTCACGATGTTACTTGCACTCACATTCTTGTATTCCCGACATCAGCTACCTCTCAGGTATGAAGAGAATATGCATCCAGAATATTGTTTCTAATGGAAAATGTTTTTATTAATTGGTTTTTTTTTTTTTTTTCATCTATTTTTAGTCTTCGCAGACTGCTTTTAACGAACAGCATATAAACGGACCAGATCTCGGAGATGACGATATATTTTCTGCCTTGAACGAAGACGACGTGGAAGACATAAACGGAATACAAGATTTAAACGATATATTCAGTACCTGGCCGGATGCTTGTCCTGGTGGCGTTCAAAGTCCCACAGGAAGTCCAAGGAGAAACGATTCAATGAGTCAGCAAGGAAGTCCGTCGTGTAACATGGAAGGAAATATGGATCAACAAGGATCTTTTCCATGCAATGTACCGTCAAGAGTTAGTTTTTATGTTAATATGAAAAAGAGAACGCGTGGAGTTTGACATATTTCTTACATTTTTCAATTTTTTTTTCTTTTTCTCATTAGAACGGCGGAGGTAGCGACGGTCAAGAAGAAGTCGGAACTCTTTTACAACAACCTTTGGCTTTGGGATATTTCGTATCCACAGCTCCGACCGGTCCCATGCCCTCGTGGTTTTGGGCTTCTTGCCCACATTTGGAAAACGTTTGTCCGGCATTTTTGAAAAATGCTCTTCACATGCACAGTCCCTCCATACAGCAAAGTTCGGATGAATTGTTGCAACAGCAATCCGCCGTCACGGATCATCCTTTAGACTCACAATTCACAACCGACGTTTTAAGGTAATTGATATTTGATTTTTTTTTTCTTTTTTTTTTTATTTATTCTTTCGATTTGTATTTTTGAACCGCGACATATTTGAATGTTTTCCCACGTATTAGGTACGTATTGGAGGGATACAACGCATTGTCATGGCTGGCATTGGACTCAAATACTCACGATCGTCTCTCATGTTTGCCGGTTCACGTTCAAGTTTTAATGCAGCTTTATCACATGACTGCAACTCTCGTGTGAATTTGTTTTTCGTTTCATTCAAAACTTGTATATATTCTCATATATATTTATATATATATATATGATGCATATATTTATATTAAATAAATTATCGTTTAATTTATGTGAATATAAAAGAATCAAAAATAATATTAATAATAATAATAATAATAATAATAAAAGACACGAAAAAAACAAAAAAAAGAAAAACAATTTTTCTCGGTTTTCTAATCCTTATTAAGTTATTTGTTTTGTGTTTTTCAACAAAAAAAAAATTGAATAATTCCAAAAAAAAAAAAAAAAAAAAAATAAGAATAGTTTGTTTAATGGAATGGAATGGAATGAAAAAACTCTGGAAAGAAGAAGGAAATGAAAGAATAGAAAAGAAAAGAAAATGGGAAAAAGAACAAAAAAGAAAAAAAAGATTGATAAACTTGTGGAGTGATTTTTTATTTAAATTTATAATCGAAAACGATCAAATAAAATAGTTTATGGCTGATTGATTGATTGATTGATTGCACTATTATCGAGTGTATGTAAAAAAAAAAAAATAATTTCTAAATGAAATTCTAAAAAATAAAATAAAATGAAGAAAAAAAAAGATATTAAAATAATAATAATAATAATAATTAATAATAATAATAAATAAATAAATAAATAATTTTAATAAAATGTAATTATATTATTAAATGTGTATTGATGAACGTTAGTAATTTTTTTTCGGGATTAGGCAATTCAATTAAGTAAACGATAATCGGATTTAAAAAAAAAAACAAAAACAAAAACATAAAAAAAAAACATAAAAAAACATAAAAACATTAAAAAAAAAAAAATAAACAAAACGTAATATTATTATTATTATTAACTTGGGTTTTAATTGTTCTTTAAATGCGCGTTTACAATACAAAAAACAAAACTACTCGACGGTTATTATTTCTTTTTTTTCCTTTTTTTTTTTTTTTCAAATACGAAATTTCAGGTTTTAGGTTCAGGTACACACACAAAAAAAGGGAAGAATCAGTTAAACCCGTAAAAAAAAAAAAAAAAAACGGATACGTAATAAAAGGTTAAAAAAATTTTTTAAAACAAAAAAGGAGATACAACAATCAATCATTTTTTTTAAAAATTTATTTAACTGAAATATTGTTGTTGTTGTTATTATTATTATTATTATTATTATTATTATTATTATTATTATTATTATTATTATTATTATTAAATTAATTAATTAATTTTAATTAAATAAATAAATAAATAATTTTTTTTTTTTATTGTAAGTGATTTTTTTTTTTTTTGTAATAAATCTTAAATTATAATTTGACACACACACACACACACACATAAATTCTTTTTTTTTTTTTCTTTTTAATTATTAATAATTATTATTATGATAATGATAATGATAATGATAATAATAATGATGATGAATAAATTTATATATTTATTTGAATATGAGAATGAATATTTTTGTTCAATGATAAAAACAAAGAAAATTTTTTCTCTTTCAATCAATTTGCGTTCGTACAATTCGAAATCTACGATTATTAATGGACATTTTCTCTCTCTCTCTCTCTCTCTCTATTTCTATCTCTATCTATCTATCTTTCTCTTTCTATTATATTTATTTATTATTATTATTTGTTTTTTTTTTTTTAATCACGTTTAGTATAATTTAAATAAATATACATATATTTAATTAATCGAGGGGAAAATTTATTTTTTATTCGTTTCTTTTTGTACGGTACAATATATATAAATAATAATAATAATAATAATGATGATGATGATGATGATGATGATAATTAAATAAATTTAAATTTAAGTTAACAAAAAAAAAAAAAAGAATAGTATGATTATTATTGCCTTTATTGTAACTGATACACATAAAATTTATTTATCACATTAAAAAAAAAAATATATTTATTAGTTTGTTATTATTATTATTATTATTAATAATTTTTAAATAAATAAATAAATACGTCATAATTGAATTATAACAATTGTAATTTTTTGTATACATTTCAAATAATAATAATAATAATAGTAATTGTAATTATGTTGATGATGATGATTGTGACGTGGATGACCGCATTATTATTATTATTATTTTTTATTGTTTATTGTCAAACGACGAATGTTATTTATTATTATTATTATGAATCAACGTCAGATATTATTATTTATTAATTAATAAAAAAAAAAACAATAATAATAATAAGCATAATAGGAAAAAAATTAATTTTGTGTGTGACCAATCAAAACTTTTTTTATTTTTTTAAACAATTTATTTATTTATTTATATTTATTTGTTTTAAACAATTATAAATAATTTGGTTTATGTTTATCACATACACGCATCCATCTTATCATTTTAATGATAAGAATTTTTTTACGTTTTGAAAATTAATAATAAATTAATAAATAAATAAGAAGTATTTATATATAAAACATTGAATTCAAGTTTTTTTTTTTTTTTTGTTATAAACAATTGTAAAATAAATTATTGTAAATAAATTTATTTACTTTAGTGTGAATAATGATAATGATAATAATAATAACGATAATGACAAATTTAATTACTGATCGACAAACAAAAATAAATAAATAAATGAATGAAAAAATTTTCAATTAATATAATATTAATAATAATAATAATTTGGTTTTTAGGTGAATAAAGTACAAAATTTGTTTTGTTTTTTTCACTCACTCACACACACACACACACACACTCTCTCTCTCTCTCTCTCTCTCTCTTTTTTTTTATTAATTTCGAAATCGTGCTAAAAAAAATTTATATTAATAAATAATTAAATAAAAAATGTTTTCAATTAAATTATTTGTAAGTATGTATTTATGTATTATGTAATTAATAAGGAGAGGGCCGGGGCGTGTGCGCGTTTTAAAAACTCCTATTAATAATAAATAAATAAGTAAATAAATAAATAATTTTTTTTTATTTTATTATCATTATTATTATTATTATTATTATATAATTTAAATTAAAAATCGGGATGTGAAAAATAGCAGCAAAATATTTATATATAAATATTGAAAGAGAAAATGATAATAGAATAAATAATAAATAGAAATTATTTAATAAGTTAGTTAAATAAACTAAAAAATTAACGGTTTAGATTATTATTATTATTATTATTATTATTATTATTATTATTATTATTATTATTATTAATCGTAAATAAATAAATAAATAATATAACCGAGGAATAAATAAAACGTATCGTTCGAAATTAATTAATTAATTTTTTTTTTTTTTAAATTTCGAACGAGTTTTCATATATTTTTTAATAATAATAATAATGACGAATTCGATGTTGATAATTTTTAATTAATTAATAATAATAATAAAACAAGGAGAGATAACAAAAATAATAATAATGATAATTTCGTGAGACCAATAATTATTTTGAACAAAATAAAATAATTTTTTTTTTTTTTTTAAATAAGTAGTTGTAGTAGAGTGGAATTTTATCCTTTTTTTTTTTTTTATTAAATAAAAAAAGCATGAAATTACTTTATAAATATATAAATAAATAAATAAATAAATGGAAAAATGTAACTAAAAATAAATAAATAAATAAAATATAAATAAATAGAAAATTTGTACAAAATAGTGTAACGAAAACAAAAACAGAAGAAAAAAAATGGAATTTCCTTTGTTTGTTTTCCATTTTTTTTTCTTACTTTTTTTTTATATATATATATATATATATATATATATATATATATATATATATATATATATATATATATATATATATATATATATATATATATATATATTATAATTGAGGTTGTTTATTATTATTATTATTATTAGTACGGGATTCGCGAAACCGCGAGAAAATTATACAGATGAATCATTGACTAAATATGACATAATAATAATAATAATAATGATAATAATTATTCTGTTGTTTTATTAATTAATTTTTTTTTTGTCTTCGCCAGTACAATTTTAGTATCGATATATATATATAATATATATAAATTTCTGCTTTTGTAGAGTGATTTGAAATCAAAATTATTATTATTATTATTATTACTACTACCCCCCCCCCATGAATTGATTCCTTTTCATCTGCTATCCTTTTTTTATAAATAAATAAATTATGTACATAATTAAAATGGGACGTCAACATTTTTTTTTTTATTTACTTCGATCGGGATTTTTTAAAATCATTTTTTATTCGTTTTATTATTATTATTATTATCATTATTATTGTATTATTTATTTGTATATTAAAAGGGAATTGGTTTTTTTTTGTTTTAAATTAGAGAAATATTAATAAATAAATAAAAAAATAATATTTTTATTAATAAAAAAAAATAATTATATCTGTTGATGATGATGATGATGATGATGATGATAATGATGATTTAATTGACAATTTTTTTTTTGATTTGTAAAATGGAAAAAAAAAAATTTTTGCTTATAAAAAAAAAAATTATTATTATTATTACTTTAAGGCTTGAGATAGATTTTAATAAATTAAAAAAAAAAAAAAAAAAAAAAAAATTAATAGAAAATTCTAATAAGCGTTTTTTTATTTTTTATTTATTTATTTATTTTTTATTATTATTATTATTAAAATTGTAAATTTTTTTAATCTGTCGAAATAAATAAGTAAATAAATAAATAAAAATATGTCAATTTTTTAAATAAAATGTATTTATTTAAACAAAATTAATTAACAAATAAAAAATAAATAAATAAATCAAAAAACTGGCAGTGGATTCCACTCAATCAAATTAATAAATTATTATTATTATTATTAATTATTAATTATTATTATTATTATTATTTAAATTATTTACATTTTATTGTTTTTATTCTTACTTATTATTATTATTATTATTATTACGGTATTTTATTATGTATTTTTTTAATTATTAAGCACAAAATGTAATGTAATGTAATAATTTTTATTTTATTTTATTTTTTAATTGTTTATACAGCCTATAAATAAATAAATATAAATAAATTTATTTTAATTATTATTATTATTATTATTATTATTATTATTGTTTAATTAAAAAAAAAAAAAAAGAACAATCCTTAAGTTTCAAGAATTTTCTAGATAAATTCATATGGATAACTTTTTATATTTATTTATTAAAAGGCGGTTTATAAATCAATCAATTAATTTATTTATTTATTTATTAATCATTTATGGATTTGCGATATTTTATTATTATTATTATCATTATTTAAATTTTTTTATTAATTAATAATCGATCATGTTTAAAAATCTACTACTGCCTTTTTAATACATATACTATATTAATTATTTTTTTTAATTTTAATGTAATTTAAACCGAGAGTAATTCAAGTCAATAATGATGATAATAATGATGATGATAATAGTAAATGTTTATTCGCCGAATTGCCGTCCTTTTTAATTTATTTAATTTATTAAAATTTTTTTTTTTTTTTTTTTGAAGAAGAAAAAGCCGCAGTTTTGCCTTTACAAATAGCTTGTTATCAATCGTTAGTTTTTTTTTTTTTTTTTTGTTATCATTATATCCGGTTAGAAAAAGAAAATTTTTTTACTCTCGGAATTTTCTTTATTTGATTTTTTTTTCTTATTGATGAAAATAAATAATAATAATAATAATAATATGATGCATTACAAAAATATAATTAAATGATTACACTTAATAAAAAATTTGACTGAAATCATCATGTATTTCAATTTAAAAAAAAATTAATTAAATAAATGTTTTGTATTTATAAATAAATAAATAAAATCTCTCTCTCTCTCTCTCTATCTCTATCTATCTCTCTTTGATAATAATAATATTTGATGTAAAATTTTTTAATTTTATTAATGTTTATTACTGAACAAAAAAAGTTAGGACCATATTTTATTTATTAATATTTTAAAAACAATTGTAAATTTTTTCTTTTTTTTTTTTTGTTTTAGTAATATTATTAATAATAATAATAATGATAATGATAATGATAATGTAATTTGTTTTTTTTTTTTTAGTTTGTGTAAATATTAAAAGAACGAAAGAGAAAAAATAATAATAATAAGAAAAATTTCCTTTAGGTGATTTGTATTTTTTTATAATTTAATTATTATTATTATTACTGGAAAATAATTTTTAGTTTAAATAATTTTAAAATAAGAAGAAGAAAACGTTGGTAGTAGTATTTATTATTAGGGTAGATAAAAAAAAAAAAAAATTTAAAAAAACAAAAAAAAAAAAAATATATATATATATATAAATATAAATATGAATATACATATATTATTATAATATTTAATTATTCAGTTTTATGTGTACAGATTAAAATAAAATAATTTAAAAAATTTATTTTAATTGTTTTTTTACCTTTTTTTTTTTTCTTAAAGTGTTTGAAAAAGTTTTTTAAAAATAAAAATGACTGTTTGTTTTCGTGTTGAAATTTCCGCCATTTTTTTTTTTTTGTAAATTATTTTGATTGGCTATCGTTCGTTCGAAATAAATCATAGAGTAATAAACATATGATTTCAAAAAAATTGGTAGTCAGTATAATAAAGGGAGATTAGGGGATTAGTGCAATTATTTAACGGGTTATATAACGGTATTTATTTAATTAAATTAATAAAATGTCTGGAATCGTGGGTGAAGAAGCATTGAAACTTGCTCAAACTATTTGGAAAACAATGTGTAAAGGTAAAGGTTATGAAAGAAATTTACAGCAGGTATGAAAATAAAAAAAATTTTTTCTAAACAGAAATAAATTAATTAAAATTAAGTTGTTTTCACATAAGTTTTTCTCTTTTAGGTAGTTATTAAATCTGCTGGACAGGGTGCATGCGTTGCTGAATTTCAAGTCGAAGAAGGAATGACAAACAAAGGAGGAGGATTACATGGTGGTTGTACAGCAACATTAATCGATTGTATATCAACAATAGGTTTAATGACGAGTAAAAATTCAAGTCCTGGTGTATCTATTAATCTTAGTGTAAAGTAAGTTGAATTTATAAAAATTTTATATATAATAAACAGGATGACATTCATATATATTTATTTATTTTAGTTATCTGAAGGGTGCCAAAGTTGGCGAAACAATAGTTATCGATTCTAAAACAGTCAAGTCAGGCAAAACTTTAGCATTTTTGGAAACAGTTCTTAAAAAAAAAGATAATAATGATGTAGTGGCTACAGGTTCCCATATAAAATTTATAGGAAGTTAATTTCTGTGATTATTATTTTAGTAAATGGATTTTTGACAGGAAAAAATAAAATTATTTACATAATATTTTTAATTATTGTTACATAATATATTGTTTCGATAGCAATATATATTAATATTTTAATATTTAGTATTTTGTTTTTATCAGAGTTAAAAAATTATGATAACTTTGAGATTTAATCATTAAAATCAGAGTCGTCATCATCTAAATCTAAATCGTCAAAATCAAAATCATCACTTTCCTTTTTATCCAAACTCAATTTATTTAATTTTTCAAGAATTAATTCTTCTGTATTATAATCTTCAGGTGAATTATTAATTTTTCTATAAAAAGTTCTCCTTTTCCTTTCCGATAGACTTTTAATTGCATCTTCCACATTTGGTAATTTTAATAATTTTTCTATGTTATTATTTGCATTTGATAAAATTATTTCTTTTTGTTGCCCACACTTGGGACATAATTTATCCTTTTCAGCACAATCGCGACACATTGTATGATAGGCGTGTTTAACATTTTTATTCTTACATTTTACACACGTTGAAGGGTTCTTCAATGGTTTATATTTTTTATATTTAATTTTCCATTCTAATATATTTTTACACCTAATGCACACATTATTTATTTCTATCGAATTTAAAAGTTTTGTATTGTGACTGGTATCGTGTAAATTATTTTTAAATTGTTTTTTATTTTGATATTTTTGAGGACGAGTCCTCGTTGTGTTGCCTTTTTGCGTACTCATTTCTTTTGTAAAAAATACAAAAGCAATTTCGAAATTTCTTATTCTACTACTAATATGCTAAACACTACGAATAATCTAGTTCCACGTCACTTTTCCCTCTCTTCTAACCTGTATGCTTTACAAATTAAATTTATTATAAATAAAATTGATATTTTTTCACTTAAATAAATATTTATTACTTTAAATTCACTGTTTTAACTATTAAATTATTTTTTTTAAAAAAAATGTGAATTAAAAGGAAACATAACAAAACTAAAAGAGTTTTCAGTGTAGAAACGTTTTACATAATGATATTAATTAAAATTTAAGTATAATAAAATTGCAACAATATTTATTTATTTAAGAATTGAAAAAAAAATATTAAATTTAATTTTACACATAAAATTATTCAAGTTCATGCAATGACCTTTGATTTTCATTACTTTTTTAGAAAATAGTTTGTCTGCTGGCTTATTTCCAACAGATCATTAATTAAAATTTTTTCTCCCAAAACATTTTAAAATTTAATGTAAAACAAACAGTGATGTGTTAACAGTTTTTTTTTTTTTTTTTTTTACATTACTCATTGATATTTTTAAACAAAAAAAAAAATTCATCTGAAAAAGGTATAAACTTATTTCTGTATTATTTATTTTAAAATAATTACATATAAAATATTTAAAACTGCGCATATTTTAAAAATTCAATTTTTTTTTTTTTTTTTAAATATATCAGTGCATATTCCAAATTTAAAAATTTAAAAAAAAAGAACATTAAGAAGTATTTTGTTTGATACGATTTATTATTTTTAAAAAAATTTTAGCAGAAAATTTCATCTGTTTTTTCCAAATGAGAGTAAGTAATAAACAAAAAAAACCTGTTTAAAGAGCGTTATGAAATAAATAAAAAATAATTTTTTTTAGATATAGCTTATATTATAAACAATATTAACTGTGATTTTTTTTATTTACGCAGTTAAAAATTACGAATTTTTTTTTCCTAAAGTTTCACTTTTTTTTATTTTAATATGTGAAAATCATTAGAAAAGTTATTCGTTTTAATAAAATAAGTGTTTTTATCATTGATATACTAATATAAATCATTTACATATATTTTTTTCGAACACAGGTATATTATTATTATTATTATATTTTTTTTCTTTCATAGAATGCATGAACCCATTTGAAAGATAAATTTTATTTTATTTTAAATCGTGCGAGTATATTATATTTCGGCTAAAAAATTTAAAACAAAATTATTTGTTTATGTCTCACAAAAATACAATGTAATAGTTTCAACTGTCAACAAGAAAAAAGTCCCCGAAAAAGGCCTCAAGAATGATATTCGAAACTTGAACGTGTTTTTTTTCCAACGGTTTTTTTTGCAGTTTCGTTTGTTGTCGTTTGTGCAGATTGATTCAGATTTTTTATCATTTTATTTATATTTGAAATAAACTAAAATTAGGATTTAAGGTATGATAAATTATTAATTTTCTAATATATATATATTAAGATTTTTTTATTAATAGTATTTTATTTGAAATAAAAAAAATGGCGTAACTTTTTACTTAAATTTTTAAGTGCATTGTTACCAGTGATGAAAACTTATTGTTTTTTAATTAAGCATACCTAAAGTTAAAATATATACAATTAATTTTGAGTTCCCCAAGTAAAATTTTATTTAAAAGAGCTTTTAGGAGTAATTAAAACCTTGACATCTTTTAGATAATGAAAATTTGTTTATTTGATATATTGCCAAACCACTTGGCATTCTTTACAATTTTTTAACCTGTCGACGGAAAATTTTTTTGCGAACCAAGTTTCAGCCTGTTGCACGTAGTTTTGTATTTAAAAAATGTTTTAAGTTATTTTAATAAATTTTTAGAAACAAAATTCCATATTAACAAGTCTCATACTTGTGGGTATGTAATTAAAATGTTGACTATTTTTTTTGTTTAAGGATATGCAGTAATCTCTACTGCTGTTTATGTGTTAGGTTGTTTTACAGTAAATTCATGTATTAGAAATTAGAACATCTTAAAAAAAAAATGGAAACATTAGTGTGTAAAACATCAAGCAATGAAATTCAAGAAGGAGACTTTGGTCTAGACACAAATTTTAGAGGTAGGCTTGGATTTATAAAAATTAAACATTTTGAAAATTTTCACAAATATTATTATTATTTTCGAATAAAATGAAGAAAATAAAATAACAAAAAAAAAAAAAAAAACTATTAAATTGATTGCTCTATTAATTTTTAATATGTACTGAAATGTATTCATTATAAAAATTTTACATAACGATAATTTTAAACTTGAACATTTTAAATTAAGCTTTACTCTTTACAAATTCAGATTTGGCTTCAACTGATATTACTATTTCACAAAACACTAATAGTGAAGAATTTATGGAATCTAGTAAGGAAAATTTAATCAATCAAACCAGTACTACTTCTTTTGGCAGTGATTCTAAAACTTCTAACGGATTGTCAAACAAAACATTATCTCCAACTTTAATAGGGCAAGCTTTCAAGGTTATGAAAAATTTATTTTCTCCAGATAAAATTATGAGTAAGTAAATTTTTTATAAAACAGTTTTAAACATTTCCCTTTTTTTTTTTTATAATTGTTAAATAATTTTTGTTTAAATTGTTTACAGGTAAATCATCCAACAATGCACAGTCGTGTGATTCTTCAGAATCGTTTTCTGATTCATTAAAATATAAAAGTAAATCTGCACAGGATGTTTCGATAGTTGGTTGCAAAAATCTTGAAAGTAAATTTGAAACTGAGAATGAGAATAATGTTGGCGTTATTGCAAGTTCTCATAATTTAGATAATCACAACACAACCAATGAATCTTACTTAACCACTGGATCAATTGTTGAAGATTCATTTCAATCTGCAGTTACTAATTTAGATGGTACAAGAGAAGTGATAAAGAGTGATCACAATGTTTCTTCAGTAATTTCACTTGACAATTCCCAGTGTTTGACCTCAACGAATTCTTGTAATGAATCTACTATTTATAATGATTGCACCTTGGAAAACACAATAATTAAAATTTCTGATATAAGTTTGTCAAATAATTGTCGACTTCCAGTCGCGAAAAACGATAGTAACTGCAATGATTTAGAGGTTGTAAATAAAAGTATTTTGACTGAAAACGAAAAAGTTGAAATGCCTAAAAATTCTGGAGAATGTTGCGTTGACGACACATCTGTAATGAATTCTGTAAATAATGATACAGTTCTTTCCGAAATGGAGCAAAGTGAAAACAATTGTTGCTACAGTAAAAGTTCCGAAAAATTTTATGATTTTGAAAAAAATATGGAATCTGACCTTGCAGAGACCTGTATGGACGATAATAATGAAAATAATAAAAATTCTGAGGATTTAAATTCTGTAGATTTATTTCGATTTACAAAACCAACATCTACAGAATCCGAGACGAGTTTTTTTGATGTCAATGAAACTGAAAGTGAATGTTTTTTCGAAGTAGCAAATGATGGTCCCGAAAATGCATTAACTGGCAGCATCAGCACTACTACAATAATTCTAGATAAGAATCATCCATCGAATCACTTTTTGGAAAACGGAGGAGATAAAAGTCCAGTAATTTCTATTTATGATTCTAAGAAAAGTACGTCTCCTAATAATAAATGTACAAAAAATGAATTCTTACTTAATCAAAGTATTGAACAGGTGGAAAAGAAAATGAAAAAATCAAATAATAATAAAAAGGGAAATTTTAACAAATTGAATAAAACTTTTGATGGAAGTAATAGGAAAAATTTTAATAAATCTCCAAAATCAAAACGAAACGGAAGTTTAGATTTAAAAGGAAAGAAAAATAGTTTGAGTAATCATGCAGAGATTACCAATAATCATACTTACACTCATGAAGAACGCGACAATAATAATTCTACGCCTTCTCAAAATTTTTCTAGTATGCCTGATTTATCACTCGCTAAAACCCTTTCCTCTCAACAGAGTTATACTATTTTGGAAACAATGAATGATTTGAAAAGACCCGTTATTAACTCTCCGGAAGATTCCAACGTCACAACAAGTACAAATTCTTTTTGTAGCTCTGGCAGTAATCTTGTTGGCAAGAAAACTTATACAAAAATATCTAATGAATTTGATCTTACCACGAGTAAAACTGAAACTTTAATTTCTGCTCCGAAGCAATCTACTCCTGTTGTAGCAGGAAACAAGACGGATGAAACTTCAACGAATTGTGAAAGTCTTTTATCAAGTCCTACATCGGAAGTGCTGGTGGGTTGCAATATTGAAAAAAAACTCGAAAATGTTGATGGTGAAACAAAAAATTTGAATTCTGTTCCTTTTATAGGCAAGCATGAAATCGAAATTTCACCCATAAACTCTTTCAACGAAGATCCTCTTCCTTGTATAGAAAAAAAACTATCATCGAATGATGAGACGGGTTTTGATAGTTTAGAAAACGCAAATAAAACTCGGTTTTCATCTCTTGAAAATAATGTTTTTCGTGTATCCCAGTCCAGCATAAATCAAACAACAATCGATCTATCCGAACCTGGGACCGATAAATTGAAAGATACTCAACCTTTAAATCCTTGTCCTGATTCCAAAGATCTCGATAAACCTATGGAAAATAATTGTCAATTAAATGTGACGATAGATTTGACTACGCAGGTACCTGGAGTTGAACTCGAAGAAACTTTCGAAAAAAAAGAATTAAAAAATGAAACGGAAGAGAATAATGTACAGTATTCGTCGATTAACGGTAGAAGAGAATCAGAAGACAAAGAAAAAGTCGATGGAAAATCAAGTACATCCGAGCTGCCGATGGATAACAATGATCGTCGTATCACTGTCGAAGAACCTTTACTCACGGACAGCAAAAGAAATTCGACATCAAGTTTTTTAAGCGTAACAAGTTCGAACGCATCCTTGCTTTACATTGATAACGCAATTATGGAATCGCATCAACAAATGAACGCAAACGATAATAATAATATAAATAAAAATAAAGACGTAAAAATAATTAAAGAAGAGGTACAAATTAATTCTGCGGACAACGAAAAATGGTCAGACGGATCTAATTTAACATCACCTGTAAATATGGGCCTGCCGATGGATTGTGGTACAACAACTTCCGTTACGGATGTTTATTCGAAATTTCAATGCGATCCGAATTTAATGGAACTCATAAAGGAACAATTCACATCGAAAGATATCGAAAAAGTTTGCAGCGTTGTCGAGGGTATGTCGGATACGGTTTTATCAAATTCCGATTTCAAATCCGAGGATTACGATTTTAAAAAACCCATTTTCGAACCACACGTAAACGGTTTGAATTCTAAAAATATAAGAATAAGTTTTAGTATAAATAACGAAGAGAAAACACCGGAAGAAATTTTTAAAGCGTTGTCACCTCACAGTTTTGACTTCTTGGGTTCCATCAGTGGTAAACCGACAGGTCGAGATTTAAGTCGCGAATCACTTTTCGTGAAATTCGATCCCCTGGTACAAGCCCCAAACGGTGTCAGTTTAATAGATTTTACGAAAGAAGTCGAAGAATTAAACACCGCGATAGAATTATCCCCGAATAATAATAATAATAATAATAATAATTCTGCCGTCGAACATTTACTAAATATTTCTCCTCAGAAAAATCCCGAAATCATAGTACCTCCTCTCACTCCTCTTTCGAACAGGAATAAAAAATCCGTGAGCGAACCGAATATAGAAAAATTAAAAGAATTACAAAACGAAATTTATTTTATGAAAAATTTATACGCGGAAAGGGAAAAGGCAAACAGTGAGAAATGGGACGATTACGAAACTCAAATAGCAAGGTTGACGGGAGAAAAATGTCTTTTGGAACAAAATTTAAAAGAATCCGGGGATAGGGAAAAATCACTCGTTAAAAAAATGCAAGAACAAAATCGTAACGTCGAACAATTGAAAACGATAATGGAGGAATACGTGAAAGTCATATCAGCACTCACGACGGAATTGGAAAATGTGAAAAAGGAAAATGAAAAACAAATAAAAAATTTAACGACGGAAAAAGACACGTACATGATACATTTGCAAAATACTGAAGCCGCATTCACGGACGTGCACGCGAAATACGAGAAAAGTAAAAAAACTATAATCAATTTGAAAACGAACGAAACGATGTTTAGGAAAACGATAGCGGAACAAATGGAAAAAATGGAAGAGTACAAGGAGAAAACGGGAGAAGTGCAAGAGAAAACGTGGAGGGAAATGGAAAAATTACGGGAAGAATTAAACGAGGAGAAAATTTTACATTCGCAAGAATTGACTCGACTTAGAGCACAATTGAGAAAAACGGAATTAAAACTCGAAGCGATGCAAGAATCATTGGAACAAAAAATAAAAGAAAATCAACAGTTGACGGCCATTTGCGACGAGCTTATTGAGGGTAAAAAATAAACGTGGAAAAAGAAAAAAAATCCGTTAGGAATATTAATTGTAATGATATGCATATATATATAAATATACACGTGTAATAATAATAATAATAATAATAATAATCGTTTAAACCGGAAATTATTTAATTTTTTGTGAGTTTTCGTTAATTTTTATTTTCCTTTTTTTTTTTTTTTAATTTTTGTATGTATATATATATAAGCAGTGTTTGTTAATTTATAAACTTTTTTTTGTTTTTTATTATTATTATTATTTTTTTTTTAACTTCAAGCTGATGTAATCAATTCAATGTTAAAATAAATACGTTTTATATATGTTATTGTTTGTTTTTAACTGGAAATGGGGGGGGGGGGATTTTGTCCAGGAGTTGGAAAAACCAACAACAGTATCTTAGTATAACGACGTTTGAAAAATACTAATAATAATAATAATGTAGGAAAGCATGTTAATAATAAAATAAATAAATAAAGTTGAAGAAATGTGTCATGCTCTCTATATAGTTTTGGTCATTTTGAATACGACGGGAGTAAGGAAAAAAGGGGAGAAAAAGGGGAAAGGGGGGGAAAGTTCGTTGAAAATAAAAAAATAAAAAAAAAAAAAGTAAAAAAAATTTTTTATTTTATTTTTTTTTTTTTTTTAGTTTCGTTCGTGACATTAAATGAACCATTTCTTCCTTCTTCTTCTTTTTCTCTTCTTCGTTCGTTGTGATTATTTTTTATTTTAATTTTATTTATTTATTTATTATTGATTCGTTTCGTTTTAAATATCATACAAGTGTTTTTTTTTTTTACTAACAATAATAATAATAATAGTAATAATTTTTTAATTATTTTTAAAAAATAAAAAATAATAATAATTATGAAAAATTAATAATAATAATGAAATTTTTATTGATTTTTTTTTTAATTTTATTACTTTTAACGGGTAAGTTTTTAACGACAAATAGCAATAATAATAATAATAGTAAGTGTTTTTAACTGTGAAAATTAATGGAGGATGGTTTTATTGTTTTTTTTTAATTTTTTTTAAAGAACAAGAAATTTTAAATTGTTAATAAATTTATTTATTTATTTATTATTTGGCGTGACACGTACGTATATCGTCGTTAATTGTAAATTTTTTATTTTATTTTATTTTTATTATTATTATTATTGTTTTCTTCTACGTCATTTTGTTTTAATAAAAAATATTTTTAAAAAAATAATTTTGAAAAATTAGAGTGAGTGAGTGAAAAAAAAAAAGAAACAAAAAAATTTTTTTTTTCGTTTCATTTTTATATGGTAATATTATTATTATTATTAATTATTTAATGGGTTTTGTTTAATGTTTCTGTTTATGTTTATGTTTTTTTTTTTCTGTTTATCGATTCGTCCTGTCCTGCGTAAAAATGTTTTTTTTTTTTGCATGTTTGTCGTATTAAAATAATTATTTAATTAAATTTTCTGTCATTAGGGAATTGAATATTTTTTTTTAGAGAGGAAATTTTTTTACCTTTGCTTTTACCCACTCTCTCTCCTTCTCTCTCTCTCTCTCTCTCTCTCTCTCTCTCTCTCTACATTTCTATTCTTCTCTCTTTTCCTCTCTCACTTTCTCTACCTCTATTCTCTCCTCCCTTTCCCTCTTTTTCTACCTTTCTTCTCTTCTCTTTCTCAGTTCCTCTCACTCTCTGTCTCTTTACCTTTCTCTTCTCTTCTCTCTTTCTCTCTCTCTCACTCTTTCTACTTCCCTTTTCTTCTGCTCTCTTTCTCTACTTAACGCTCTTTCTTTCTACCTGTCTTCTGTTCTCTTTTCTCACTCCCTCCTGTTACCTCTCTTCTCTTCCTTCATTCCCACTGTTACTTTCTCTACCTCTCTTTCTCTTTCTCACTCTCTACCTCTTCATTTCTCCTTCCTTTCTCTCTCACTCTTTCTGCCTCTCTTCTCTTCCGCTACCTTCTTTCTCACAGACTCTCTCTCTCTTTGCCTCTCTTTTCTCTTCTTTCCCTCTACTTGTCTGCTACTTTCTTTCCCACTCTTACTTTCTTTACCTTTATTCTTTTCTCGTCCCTCTCTCTCTCTTTCTACTTTTCTTTTCTTCCCTCTTCCTACCTTTCTTTTCTTCTCTCTTTCTACCTTTTTTTTCTTCTCTCTTTCTCACTTCCTCCTCTCACCTCCTCTCCTCTCTTTCTCACACTTTCTGTCGCTCTCTCTCTCCCTTTACTTCTTTACTACTCTCTTTCCCACTCTTACCTTCTTTACCTCTCTTCTTTTCTCGTCCCCCTCTCTCTTTCTACTTTTCTTTTCTTCTCTTTCTCTCTTCCTCCTCTCTCCTCCTCTCCTCTCTTTCTCACACTTTCTGTCTCTTCCTTTCTCTACCTACCTCTCTTCTCCTTCTCCTCTCCTCTCTTCCTTGATTATTGTTTAATTTTTACTATTATTATTACTCTTCTCCATTTAATAAAATTAATATTTATTAAAAGGTCAACGAACTCATTAAAAATTATTAATTAAAAAAAATTTTTTTTCTATTTACTGTTTTTGGTAAACCCTATGAGATTTCCTTCTGTAAAAAAAAAGTGATTTTTCAAATATTTCCATAAAAATTTACATATAAATGTAACTTTGTGAAAATAAATAAATATTCGATAGAAAAGATAATAATAATAATAATAAAAAAAGATAAATTTTAAAGGGATGTTTTTCATCATTTTATTAAGGTCAAAGTTTAACATGTTTTTTTTTTTGTTTTATTACTTTCAGATCGAAATCGTTTTTTTTTTTTATATATATATATATAAGAGATAAAATTAAATTGGTCGAGTAAAAAAAAAAGGTTCCATATATCTATTATTATTATTATTATTGTTGTAATTTTTTTTTCAGTGAGTATTGATTGTAATAATTTATCTTGTTATCAATGCATAAGATATTCAAACGAAGAATGTAAACAAGATGAATTATTACCATGTTCAAAAGTATCAGATCGTTGCGTCACGCACATTTCAAAAAGACGTAAGAAATTTATATGATAATAATGATAATAATAATTTGTTTAAACAAAATAAAATTTTATTGTTTTTTTTTTTTTTAAATAGAAAACGAAGGATATAGAATAAAACGTGAATGTGGGTTAGGTCCTTGCGGATTTGAAGATGATATGGTAAATAAAGGACTCGGAATGGATTTTTGTAATCGTGATAAAAATGAATATTTTTGTATTTTCTGTTGTAAAACTCATGGTTGTAATAAAAATTCTTCATCCTTTCCATTTTCTAATATTTTTTTAATTTTAAGCTCAATTTTATTTATTATTATTATTATTATTATTATTAATAACTAATTTTTTTTTTTTTACCTTTATTATTTTAATTAAAAATTTACAAATTAAATATAAAAAAAAGGTGAAGGTCTTTTTTATCGATATTTTCCTTTTACGGTTTTTTATGAATCTTTCTTTCTCTTTAAACGTTGTCTAATAACATTAATAATAAGCTCAAGATCAGGCATTGCAGGCTTATAAGTAAGAGAAGGTATAATTCTCAAAGTCCGCCAAGATGACATGAGCCGATTTTAAAAAAAGAACCGATCGTTTCATTTCCTGTTGTCTGATTTGGCAAAACATGAATATCTGGAGAGGCACAATAAAATTTGTCAATATCTTCACTGGAATATCCTGTGGTGTTGAACAGGAACGAGGGTATCAAATCCTTCGCGGAGGTCTTGACCGTCGCGAGGGATCGCGTGGATTTGGCAAAGTTAGGAATCGACTCCCTTAGGATCCGTCCGTCCGCGAACGGGGGAAGGGTTTTCGAAATCAAGGGTAAAAACAGGGCGGCCAAGGCGGCGGGGTTGGCCGAAGAACTTTCGAAGGTCGTGGGGCCGATGGGGGTCACGGCGACGTGTCCCGCAAGAAAGGTCGACCTCCGAGTCGAGGGTCTCTGCGAGTCCGCGACGTCGCACGACGTCGCTCTCGCGTTGTCTAGTGCGAGCGGATAACCTATCTCCGAAGTTTTGGTGCGTCCTCCGGTCGGAGGGAGCGCACGACCGCGACTGTTCGAGAGTTCGCGTCCGTTCCCGCGGCCGCCGTGTCCGTCCTCCTCGAGGCGGGCAAGGTGACCGTCGGTTGGGTCAGAGCGCGGGTGGTTTTCCCGCCGAAGCGAAAGGCCGTGTGTTTCAGGTGTCTCAACCCGGGGCACCTGGGCGCGCGGTGTCCCAAGTTCGAGGGTAGGGTAGAGGGAGCGCAGGAACGTTGCTTCAGGTGCGGAGGGACGGGGCACCAGGCCCGCGATTGCGCGAACTCGATTCGTTGCGCGGTGTGCGCGGAGGCCGGCCGTCCGGCTAACCACCGGTTGAGCGGTCCTTCGTGTTCGGCGCCTTCGGTCAAGGGAAAAGCCATCCGTTGGGGTTCGACTGATTTACAGGGGGGTGCGACGCGGGGAGATTCTTCGTGTGAGCCGAGAACGAACGGCTCTGCCCAGAGTTCGACGTAAACATGCCGAAGTTTCTCCAAGTCAATCTGAATCACTGCAGGAGAGCGCAAGATCTCCTGCTCAATCAGGTGGGCGCGTGGGGGGTCGACGTCGTCATGATTTCGGAACCCTACGACGTTCCGAAAAGGGGGGAAAGTCGCGAGAGTTCTTGGTTCAGTTCCGAAGACGGCGCGGCCGCGATACTATTCTCGAACTCGGTTCGTACGCCGAGGCCTCGAGAGCTGTCACGGGGGGAGGGTTTCGTTCTGGTCGGATGGGGAAACGTGGTTCTGGTGTCCGCTTAATCGTCCCGTCGGCCAGTTCGAGAATTTCTTGCACGCGCTCGCGAGGGAGATCGATCGGTTCGGGGGGGGGTCACGTCCCACTCTCGTCTGCGGCGACTTCAACGCTAAGCACGTCTCGTGGTCGGGGTTCGCAAACAACGCGCGCGGCCGACTCCTCAAAGGAATGGTTCGATTCGCGTCATTTCGTCGTGCGCAATAAGAGGGGGGCTAAAACTTGCGTGCGGGCCACCGGCGAATCCGCGATCGATCT